TCGGAGGAAGGTGGGCGCGGCCAGCTCGGTCGTATAGACCTCGCGGCACGTGAGCGTCTATCGACGCTTGGAGTCATAGGCTGTTGACCCTTAGAAGATCATGAGGTAGCCATCTAGCATCGGAAAGCTACCATCCTTCCCCTTGGCGTCATCGTTGGGGTCCTTCCCGTGCTCCCCTTTATTGGAGCCTCTGGACAGGAACCACTTCACGAGGCCACATTCCTTGTACAGATGCTTGACGGGGAAGGCATGGTTTGGGCATGGTCCCACGAGTAGCCTCTCGAAGTGGTTCGGGGTGCCCTCCATGGGCTGTTGACCCCCCTATGGTCGGCGGCAGCCACGAGCAAGCCCTCATGACGCTTCTTGTTCTTCCTCTTTATGGGACGGTTGGAGGCGCCTTCATCGGCGTCCTCGTCCCATTTTGCCTTGCCCTTGAGGTGGTTGAAGATTGCTCCGACCGCCTCCTCGCCCGAGGCGTGGCTGGTGGCGATGTCGAGGAGCTCCTTGGTGGTTCATGGGCCCTTACGTCCTAGCTTGTGAACCAGGGACTCACAGGTGGTCCTAGAGAAGAAAGCTCCTATAATGTTGGCGTCGGTGACGTTAGGTAGCTCGTTGCACTGCTGGGAGAACTATCAGATGTACCCACAAAGGGTTTCTCCGGCCTTCTGTCGGCAGTTCTTGAGATCCCATGGGTTCCTAGGGCGCTTGTACGTGCCCTAGAAGTTCCCTGCGAAGATCTCTTTCAGGTCTGCCCAACTTTGGATTCTGTTGGGCGGAAGGTGTTCCAACCATATTCGCGCTGAATCGGCCAGGAACAATGGAAGGTTGCGGATAATGAAATCGTCATTATCCGCTCCATCGGCTTGGTAGGCAAGCCGATAATCCTAGAGCCACAGTCCGGGGTTTGTTTCCCTAGAGTATTTCAGGATGTTGGTTGGTGGTCAGTACCTTGGCGGGAAGGCGGTGTTGAGGATGTGTCGGCTGAAGGCCTAAGGCCCTGGCAGGCTAGGGCTTGGGCTTCGGTCCTCGCCGCTGTCGTAGCATCCGCTAGGGCGAGGGTGGTAGCCGTGGCTAGCTCCCTTTCTCAGATCGTTGCGGGTACGTCTACGGGCGTTGAGGGTGTCACGTGCATCATGGTTGCGGGCGAGACACTCATGCACTGGGACCGTGGTGTGCTGCCTGTCGCCTTACGGTGCCTGGTGGACTGATGCGTCCTTGTCAGGTTGCTCCGAGGGCGCACATGGGCTGGCGTCGAGCTCACATCACCGAGATAGTGAGCTTTTGGCCTGCTACGCCACCGCACGCTCGAGCAGCGTGCGAATCTCGTGGTGGGCCCGATGATCCTCGAGCATCATGGGCCTCGAAAGCCCACGGAGCAAGGCTGCCGTAGCAGCAATGTTCTGGCGCACCTAGGCGAAGTGCGGGAGGGCTTCATCGTCCGTGATGATCCTCCGGTTCATGTCGCGGGCCATGGCGCGCGCGCCCACTGTCTCCGTGGCGCTCGATCTCTTGATCGAGCTCCGCGCGTTCCTGCTTGAGCTGGATCGTGCTTCCTCGAGCTCTAGGTGTCGGGCCTTCAGCTGCTCCACCCATAGGTGGGGTGGGGTCCCTATCTCCCCCTCGACCTCGTTGTCGAGGTCGTTTATTGGGGTAGCTTCCTCCTCATGGATGCTTTTGATGTGTCCCTCGGGGGTATCCATCATGAAGCACTTACGAGAGTGGTGATGGCTCCCCCTACTGGAGTCAGAGCCGGAGGGCAACTCCGATTCTCCTACGAGGAGGTCGTGGAAAGACTCTGCGACGTATTCGGTCATCCCCATGAACCTGTCGTTTGCGGGGGACGAAGGCATGCGTTGTGCCACAGGGTGGCTATCGGTCTTCGCGGTGTTGCGGAAACTAAATGGGAGTGCTGTCGAGGTGCTCTGGGTGAGGTATTCCGGAGAGAGTGGCTCCCCTCCAGCAAGCTATGCCATGATATTGGTGAACGAGAAGGTGAGGTGGCGCAAGTTCTCTCGGGACGGCCGGGCTCCCAGGGAGGCGCCGAGCTGACGCTCTAACCTCCCATAGTCAAAGTCGAGGAGCTGGTCGCTTTTGGGAGCGTGGGCCTCTGGTGCGTGCAGATGCAGTTCCTCAAGCGCCTTGGCAATTACATCGAGGCCAGCAGAGTGGGAGGTCGGATGGCGGCGGGAGCCATTGCCAACTCTCCCTCCGTCGTGACGATGAAGTCTAGGTCCCCGAAACACACGTGCGCACCTGGGACCCAGCTGAGGTTGCGACTAGCCATCCGAGGCTTGGTGTGGACGTCGAGACGCGCAAAAAGCCCCTACCTGGCGTGCCAACTGTCGGTGTTTTGAGTTGCCACCAACAAGTAAATTTCTAATATTGTGCGTCTGTCCCGGATGGTATGCTAAGAGGACACGAGGTTTATACTGGTTCAGGTAGAATGTCCCTACATCTAGTTCGTTGCTACTGCTCGTATTACTAGCACTTAAAGTTCATAGTAGGGGTTACAAACGGTCGAGAGAGGGACTGGTCCCAAGTCTCTGGTGGTGTGTTGCGGTGAGCTCTGATTCGAGTCAAGTCGAGTTGAGTTTGGATGTGTTCGATCGTTCGATGCCCCTAATGGGATGCCCTGCTTTCCCTTTTATAGACCAAGGGGAAGCAGGGGTTATAGCAGAGGGAGAAGAGGAGAATCAGAAGGAGAAGAAGTCCCCCCAAAATCACCGAGGCCTTCTTCTCTTCTATGCGGGTCCCACTAACCCTGTAGACGTCAACAGGGACTGCTCCACGTCGTGGCCCTATCCGTCACTAGCGCCATGTGCAGGCTTCGTCTGCCGATCATGGCGCTCCACTCCGTCCTGGCGATCGTCGTGGTGAACTGACACGCCCGTCAGTGTTCGTACGGGGGTTAGGCTGAACAGCACTGGTGCGCCCGACGCTGTTCCTAACATGAACCCCTAGGTATGGCCCGTCGTGGGTCGTGGGCTACGTCGAGGCATGCCAGTCTCTCCCTTGGTGTCAGAGCTTTGACCTAGACCCATACGCTTGGACTTGGAGTGGTTGGCGGTGGTATGGGTCTTCGTCGGGCGAGACGGAGCCCATAGCCTCGGGGTCGAGCGAGGCGGAGTCCTTCCCTAGAGGCCGGGCGAGGCGGAGCGCAGACCCAAGGGTCGGGCGAGGCAGAGCGTAGACCTAGGGGCCGAGCAAGGCAGAGTCCTCCCCCAAAGGCCGAGCGAGGCAGAGCCCACGGCCTTGGGGTCTGGCGAGGCGGAGTCCTCCCCTAGAGGCTAGGCGAAGCAGAACAAGCCCTCAGGGATCGGGCGAGGCAGAGTCCTCCCCTAAGGGCCAGGTGAGGCAGAGCCCGTGGCCTTGGGGTTGGGCGAGGCGGAGTCCTCCCCTAGAGGCCGGGCGAGGGGGAACCAGCCCTTAGGGATTGGGCGAGGCGGAGTCCTCCCCTAAGGGTCGGGTGAGGCGGAGCCCGTGGCCTTAGGGTCGGGCGAGGCGGAGTCATCCCCTAGAGACTGGGCGAGGCGGAGCGCAGACCCAAGGGTCAGGCGAGTTGGAGCGCAGACCTAGGGGTCGGGCGAGGCGGAGTCCTCCCCTAGAGGCCGAGCGAGGCAGAGCCCGTGGCCTTGGGGACAGGCGAGGCGGAGTCCTCCCCTAAGGGCCAGGCGAGGCGGAGCTCGCGGCCTTGGGGTCGGGCGAGGCGGAGTCCTCCCCTAGAGGTCGGGCGAGGTGGAACCAGCCCTCAGGGATCAGGCGAGGTGGAGCGCGTACCCAGAGGTCGGGCGAGGCGAAGCTTACGTACCTGGGGGTCGGCAAGAGCTGTAGTCGCGCTCTTGACCGCTCGGATGAATTAACGTTGATGGTTATTAGCTCCTCCTCTTCAGGTACCCTAGTATTGGTCCCCGACACCTACTTTTTGATATACAAATTTCAAAATAGCCTCTAAAACAAGAATAGCCAAGCAACTGGAGTTGCTCTTAGACCATTTGTTTGGAGTTTTAGATCTAAAGTTCATAGCACTAAAGTTTAGATGAGAAAATCCAAACAGACCTAAGTTCCTCAATGGGATAGGACAATTTTGCATGACTAATGAGGACCTTGGCTCTCTATAGCTTGGCCAAATGGGCCTCACATATAAGCATGTTAAATGATGGGCTCACAAATACAAACAGACAAGAATAACAATCACTTAGTCATGTCGTCTACGATTAATTGCTCTGTGTATTCACTATGAATCTTATATCTAATCATGTTTTGGGGGTCAACTCTTGGAGTACTGAAAAGTGACTTCTGGAGCTGGAGGTTCGAAAACATCTTAGAGAAGAGCTCTACCTAACGAGGAATTTGCAAGCATCATTCTGCTCACCTCCAACTTATACTTTGCTTTGCAAAAGGTCATCTTCTACACATATATTTAGTTTGTTACGGTCCTAAGCACTGATCCTAAAGTATATATCATTGTCGGTTTTTAGGTTTGGATCAGTGAACTAATAATTAGCTCATGTTTTTAGATACCAATTAGAAAAACTAAATGCGAGCTAATTCTAAACTAATAAGAGCTAACGAGGGCTAAATTATGGCGGTAAGAGTCCATTAGCCCTTATTAGCTCATTTAATCTATTTTCATAAGGTGGGTTAATTTTTAGCCCTGAGATCCAAAAAGGCTCTTAATAGGGATCGACATTTCGACATTTATACTAGATGTGAACCTAAAAATAAGGTTAAATCAACATAAGTCACATGGAATTAAGCCTGACCGGATCTCTCTCTCCCTGACCACCACCGATGTGTATTGACAACAGCACGAATGTATTCTAGCTGAGCATGTACAGAACAATTCAAGTTGTTTGTTTAGGTTCTTGTTGAAAAATATAATATCATTGGCATGTTGGTTGTTGTGGATGAGTTCAATTTACAAGATCCACATAAACATGCCATCTACGATTAACTGCTCTGCAGCAATAAAATTCATTATGAAACTCATCACAACACTTCTAAATCTCCGAAAGCAGATTAACCATGGAAGCACGGGCTTCATAGAAGGCCTCCAGTGGCACCTCTTTGGGCAGGGTTAAACCAGATCCCTCGGCCATGTCCACAAGATCCTCTCCCACTCTTTCCCAATTGAAGCACTGGATCATAGTCCCTAGAGCAAGGCCTACCATCTGCATGCCCAAGTTCTCCGCTGGGCATCGTCGCCTTCCCATACCAAATGGGATGAACATCTTGCCTTCACTTTTCCCACCCTCGAACCTATGAACAAAACATAATTGATATTCATCATCAAGCTACACACATGGTACTAACCAAAAGAATTTGGCAGTAGTTTGAGCACCATGCATACCTTTCTGGGATGAAGCTTGTAGGTCTATCCCATAGCTTAGGATCCCTGTGGATTGCGAACGTATTCACTAGGAGCATTGTCCCCATGGGTATGTGAAACCCGCTGACCGTGCAGTCAGTTGAGGACTCATGAGGGACAAGAAGTGGCGCTGGCGGGTATAGACGGAACGTCTCCATGATGATGCACCAAAGGTAGTGCAGCTTTGGGAGATCGGCGGCCGCGAGTAGGAGCACCGGTTGCCCTATGCATGCATCGATTTCTTCTCGAGCTCTTGTCAGCACGGCAGGGTTGTTCAGCAGGAGGGACATCGCCCACTCCACTGTATCTGCTGAAGTACTTGTTCCAGCTTCGAGCAAACTCTTCAAAAAGAGAGAAATAATCTCAAAATAACTCGATGACTTTCTATTGCTGAAACTAGGGATACACTTTCCCTCAAAAAACTAGGGATACTCCGTCCACATTACTAAATTTTAGGTTTGACCAAATCAATAGTAAAGAGCATCGATATTTATCAATTCAAATTAATATCACTAGACTAATTATGAAACATAATTTCATAATGTACTTATTTGGTTTCATGATGTTGTTATCTTTTTTATAAAAATGGTCGACCTTAAGTTAGTTTGACTTAGGGTGATTCTAAGAACTGATTTATTTTGGAACGGAGAGAGTATTTGATAGTGAGCGTATGCCTTGTGCTTGTTCAAATAAAAGAAATACTAAGCTCCTTTTTAAGCCTTTTGTGGGAAATCAAATCAAAATATGGTGCAAAATCTGGCTTTCAGCGGAAAGATAAATGTAAGTGAATAAATATTTTGGTCAATATTTTTTCTATGGTTTTAGAGTTAAGAAACAAGAGAAATTTTATGTGTACAACTATGCCAATATCAGAGATGCACATCCTTCTTCTTGTGGAATATGAATGTACTCGCTCCGCTCCAAATTGGGTACTCTCTTCATCTTAAATTATAAGGGCCCGTTAGGTTCCTCAACGGATTATTAAAATCCAGATAGTAGATAGGGATTTTGAGAATCTGGATTCTAGATAGTAATAAACTAGTTTGTTTGGATCTTCAGATTTATTCTTGACTCTGGTTTCATAGTATAAGCAAAATGTCCAAAATACCCATGGCTCCTTAACACACTGCACGCAGTTCCAAGTAGAAGTGGGGGTAAAATTGTCTATTCTCGTACTAGAATCCCTACAAAGCATATGGAGAATGGATACTAGATTATTGCTTTGGATTAGGTGAACATGTAGTAGAATCCCTGGAAACCTCTTTGTTTGTTTTGGATTCAGATTTTTCTTTTTAGATTCTAAAATTCTATCCGGATTCCAACGGTCCCTGAGTCATTTCAACTTTTTTGAGAGTCAAAGCATCTTAAGTTTGACCAAAATTTGAATAGAGGAAGTATGTACCACATTTTGACGTGGGAGCTAAATTTGTTCTTATAAGTGCTTCGACACTGCAGCCCACGTCAGCCCCTGCTAATACGACAATATTCTGATAAACAACAGGTGCATGAAACTCCAAATTCCGACAATGGATCCAGAGCATGATTCCTGCGAACAGCTATATATACTCTTATAAAAAAAACAGCAGTATATGCCGTGCCACACTGCAATCCACATCAGCCCCTGCTAATACAACAATTTTTCTGATAAACAGCGGGTGCATGAAACTCCAAATTCCGACAATGGATCCAGAGCATGATTCCAGCGGTGCTTTCAACAGCTATATGCAATTATATAAAAAAAAAACAGCTAGTATATGCCGTGCGCATGGTCAGGCAGATATGTGAGATATGGATGGGGATTTGATAGAGCAGTATATATTGCAGATTGGATTTAATTCAAAAGACCACTAAACCCAGTAGTTTTTTCTTCAGAAGATTCATAAAATATGCAAATTCCAGTAGGAAAGGAGCCAATGCAACAGCCATGGCCCATGGAGGTGGATTACTCACAATGCACAAGGTGCGAATGAGGTGGTCCGGGCAGGCCTCGGCGTCCTCCTTCTGCAGCGTCAGCAGCACGCCGATCATGGTCCTCCTGGCCGGCGCCCCCTTCTCCATCTCCTTCCTCTGCTCCTCGATCAGCCCCTGCAAGAACTTGGTCCGGCCCTCCCGCAGCCGCCACAGCCGGCGCTCCACTCCGCCCACGTCCAGCCACCGCGCCCACGCCGGCAGGAAGTCCCACGCCGTCGACGCGCCGCTCAGCTCCATCGTCTCCTCCACCATCTCCCTGAACCACCGCGCCTCCTCGCTCACCCTCACCGCTGTCTCCTCCTTCCCGTCGCCGCCGTAGTACCTCCTCGCGCACATCATCCCCATCATGGCGTTCATTAGCAGCTCGAACAGCCGCGACTTGAGCTCCACCCGAGCGCGGCCCCGGCCCCAGGCCGCCGCGGCGCGGTAGAGTCCCCGCGCCATGGCCCGCGTCTCGCGCTCGTGCACGTCGGCGAACTGCTGCACCCGGAGCACGGAGAGGATCTCGGTGACGGCGATGCGGCGGACGTGCCGCCAGTAGGGCCCGTAGCTGGCGGTGCCCATGGTGGTCCAGTCGTAGGAGAGGATCCCGCCCGACGGCAGCCGTGGCCGGTTGGCGAACGTGACGTCGCGCGCGCCCAGGCACTCCTCGGCGGCCTCGGCCGACGACACGACGGCGACGCGGCGGGAACCGAACCGGAGCTGGAAGACAGCGCCGTGGCGAGCAGCGAGGCGCGCCAGGGTGCGGTGGAGGGGCTTCCTGAAGAGGTGCAGGTGGCCGATGACGGGGAGAGGGGTCGGCCCCGGCGGGTTCCGGCGAGTACCACGTCGTACGGCTTGTGCTAGGCCGAGAAACAGTGGGAGTAGGAGGAGAGTGATGACGGCGAAGGTGTTCAAGGTATCCATGGTGGACTCACTAAGTCACTATGGAGCGAGACTGTGAGAGTGAGAGACTGAGAGGAAACAAAGTGCCATGGATATGCTGCTTGATCTCCGAGGGTGGACATGGGCCCACCAACCCCACTACTCCATGTAATGTTGGCCCACAAACTAAGGCCCAAGTGCCTATGACTAGGGCACCTGCTTTGCTGTTCGTAACATGGTAGACGTCGTCACACAGAATTATTAGCGTTTCGCTTGCTCACTCAGGTGCGATGCCTTCTCTTCAATCTCGCTGCTCTAACCAGCCTGTTTGGCATGGTTCATTTAAAACGGCTTCATCGGTGAAGCTAGAAAAATTGATTTTTTTTCGGTTTCTAGTTTATTTTAACTTCGGTTTACAAAAACAACTTCACGCTACAGTGTCTCGATTTACGCAAAATAAATGAAGTCGAAGCTGGCATAAGCCGTGCCAAAGAGGGCCCTAAAGGGATGCTTTGGCAGTCTAGTACAGTAAAGGGCTTAGCTTATGCTTACTTTGCACAAAACCATCAATTCAAGAAACAGTACATTTTCAAGCTATGAATAAGTGTACCATCTATTCTAGATGGACGTTCAAATCGAAACACCTGTATATCAAACAACACTGGAAGGAGAGCATTTCTTCTATGTCCTAGAATTTAGTGAAAATTGTTAGATTTAATTGGGCTTGGCTCATCTTTATATTAAATTAAATCAAATATATTCTAAGCCCACATGAAATGTTAAGTGCAACAAATGTTTAGTCACTACTACAGTAAGCATTTGTAGGGGTGGCTGGTGATAGTTTGTAGAGACGGTTTTGCCAGCCATTCCTACCACACCGTCTCTGCAAATCAAGGGTTTGTAGGGACGATTTCCAAGTCGCCCCTACAAATCGATTTATAGAAATGACTTGTGTCACCAGCTGCCCCTACAACTATATTTGTAGGGACGGTTATATCTAGAACCGTTCCTACGGTATATTTTCTCACCAAAAAAAATTAAAATTTAAAGATTCAAATCTGACCAAAACACATATATATATATATATATATGTATATATATATAATATAGTATTTATTTTGACGAAAAACTGTGGAGCAAAGCTCTCTAGTGAAATTTTATTAAACCAACAGAAGAAGGAAAACACAGACTAGTTAGCTGGAGGCTAACCAGAGCTTACCTAGGTAGGGGGGCCTTGGGGCCAAACAAAAAAGAAGCAAAATTACACTGATGCAGTCCAATTCATGATTACATTGTGCATAGCAGACAGTAGGCGATACAAGTGAAGTTTAGGCCCTGTTTAGTTCTCAAAAATTTTCATCCCAAAGTGTCACATTGAATCTTGCGGCATATGCATGGAGTACTAAATGTAGATGAAAAAAAACTAATTGCACAGTTGGGTGAGAAATCACGAGACGAAACTTTCGAACCTAATTAGTCTATAATTAGATACTAATTACCAAATACAAATGAAGTGCTACTGTAGCCAAAACCAAAAACTTTTGTCAACTAAACGCACCCTTAACTTCAGTTGTGAATATATTCTTCCATGACGGAATGGATGGTACCTTGTCGTTGAAAATGTATGCGTTCCTCTCTTTCCAAATACTCCAAGCAGAAAGCATAAAAATATCCATGAAGAAGGGCAAGGGAGAGGCCTCCTTTTGTTGCACTATCATCTAGAAAATGTTGTCATGAACCGTCCACTGAATGCCAAGTTTGAACCACTGTGAGGCATATATCTCTAGTATCTACAGGACAAGACATGTGTCACATCATTAGAAGTGGTTTAGCCCATAAAATCAAGGCATGCGGCGCACAGTACTGGTTGGCGTGCACCGCAAGGCTACGAGAAGATATGATTTATTAGATATCCTAATACCAAATAGAATGTTTTCTTTGTAACATCACCCCTCCAGAGTATATAAGGAGGGACAGGAGTCCCCTAGTGAGCATCGACATACAGATCCTGGGCTTAGCTTAGAATCATCTCATAATACAATCCACTGAAGACACATGACGTAGGATATTACGTCAAGCTGACGATCTAAACTTGTCTAAATCGTTGTCTCTGCGTTCTGTGTCACCATCCAGTTCCCGTCACGCGTACCTCCACCGATTCATCGCTGTCTCTGCGTTCTGTGTCACCATTTAGTTCCCATCACGCGTACCTCCACCGATTCATCTACTACTATGGGTATACCTTTCGGTAGACTGCCGACTAGATATCGTCGATAATGACGCGCCAGGTAGAGGGTGTGCGTGCAGATCTCATGACAAACCAGATGACTTTAGGAGTAATTGCGATCTAGATCTTGACGACATCTACATCATCCATGGCGACACAACTTCACGCTTCCGTGCGTGGAGTCTGGCGGCGGGCGGCAGCCCCTGTTCGGCGGCATGGTTTTGCGTCATGCAGCAGCGCCCTACGGATCAGCGTCGACAACTCAGCACCCCGTCGTCCATCTCGAAGCGCCGGCCCTCGGGCCGCGACATCGACCGAGGAATAGAGCTGGCTTCCACCCTGCTCGATGCGGTGTCCAACAAGAAGCGGCGCTATGTCGTCGTCGGATCATGACACGGCAACACCCCGTACGCATGCATTCATACATGCATACATGAGGCATACGAGTATAGATCGGTTGCTGCATGCCTGTTTTTTTTTTTTTTTTTTTTTTTTTTGAGAGCCCGACTCCAGCGCAAGATCGACGCCGTCCGCGACAACTCGGACCCTCTCGTCTGGATCCAGGGGCGGACTACGACGTTGCGGCGGCGCGTTTCGAGGGCAGCTCCCAATGGCTCGTTAAGGTGCACGAAGTCAAGCAGCAGCTCTAATCTTGTGAGTCCGGCGTCGGGTCCTACCGCCGAGCACTTCGCTGTCGAGATCCTAATCACGTTCAATCGAAAGCTCAACAACCAATCAAAAAGGTAAACGTAGAATCAATCTACAGCACCGTCCAAGATGACGTCAGCAAGCAAGAGGGATGTACGATCTACATGCAAGAGGGCATTAGGCAAGCCAAACCACTTGCATGTATATGCATCACGTACAGACTTGACGAGCTTGCTGCCTGTCGATATCTTCACGCCCCGAAGACTACTACAACCATGCAAGAGGACAATCACGTCTACAAGCAGATCGATCGACAGTCCATTCCGATCGAGTCCAGACCCTCCGACTCCGCCAGTGTCGACTCCAACTTCGCTCGTCGTGTTAGAGCTGTCAAGCGAGTCGTCCGGGCCACATCCATCTACTCGGACATCGCGACCCATCGACTACTCCACTCGGCGACAGCTAAGTCATACCTTAATATTTTTCTAAATATTCTCCAACCTTCATATATCATCGTGATATATCTCTGTGCTGTTTTCTCTATGTTTATTCTCCAAACGATTTTTGTTCATGTATACAATCTTAAAGATGACATACGTTTTTACCTAAGGAAACTTCCCGAACAGTCATGTTTACGCTCATGCTTGCCAGAGACGGCCCTGTCTCCGACTTTTTCCTACACGTGCACGAGCGTCTGCCCTCTGCGTTATGGGTGGTCGGCAGCGGCTCCTTGGCGACGTCTTGTCTTCCCACACATACACGAGCTCCAGCGCTCCGCGTTACGGTTTACGGGCTAGCCGGGGCTAGAGGCTCAGCCATAAACTAACTGGTCGGGACAATTTATATTAAATATAAACACATCTCCAATTGATTTTTCTTCTCTATGTTTAAGATACTCCACTCATTCTTCATGCACAATATCTTTAAGATATTCTTAATCAACTCGTTGACCAGCTACGTCCTCTTTTGTGTTATCTAGAAGCAACCCTATTCTCGATCTCACACCTACATGTGCACGAGTGCCAGCCCTCTGCGTTATGGGTGATCGACAGCGGCTCCTCGACGACGTCTGTGCTCTTACACGTAAACGGGTGCTAAGCACTCTATGCTATAGGGTATGGGCTAGTTGGGGCTGGTGATGCAATACAGAACCAACTGGCAGGAAGTTACTCATATTTAAAATATGAACACTTCAAACAAACATGATGTTTATCTACAACTGCTCGGCAAGATACATCATGTACTACCCAATCTACATGTTTGTTTTGCAGGGGTCCTGATTCAGTCAATGAGCTATTTTTTACGCTCGGGGACTGGATCACCCGAGAAGGACAAAAGGATCATCGTCCAGGTGGTCGCACCACCTAGCAGTCAGACTTATCCACCGATCAACTGGTCGGACCGCTAGGTTCATAGACTTCGTCGCCGACCAATTGGTCGGACTGTTCGGCGCTCACTTTTACTCGGCGCTCACTTCGTCGCCGACCAGTTGATTGGGCTGCTCGGTGATCAATTCTTCGCCAACCAGCTGGTCGGATTGTTCACCGCTTCATCGTTAGCTACACTGGGGGCTTACCAGCTAAGCTGGGGACTGCTCGGCGTTTGGATTGGTCATCGCTTCATCGTCAGCTACGCAGTGGGCTTGCCAGCTAACCTGGAGACTCCTTGGCATTTGAATTGTTCGTCGCTTCATCGTCAGCTACGCTGGGGGCTCGCCAGCTAAGCGAGGGACTCCTCGGCGTTCAGATTGTTCGTCGCTTCATCGTCAGCTACGTAGGGGACTCGTCAGCTAAGCTGGGGACTCCTTGGCGTTCAGATTGTTCGTCGCTTCATCGTCAGTTATGCTAGGGACTCATCGGCGTTCGGATTCTTCATGCAAGCATCGCCAGCTAAGCTGGGGACTCCTTGGCGTTTGGATTCTTCGTGCAAGAGTCAGATTTTACTGCATCTCGACTATCGATTCGCCTGCTGGCTTACTACGTTTTGCTGAGGCTGCATATCATGTGTGCTATCAAGGTGTTCCATGCTGTCCGGATCAAGGTGCTGATCCTGGGCGGCACGTGGGGGGCCTTGATAAGTACATCTATCGTAGCAATCCAGTGCTAAGCAGATCTTTCTGCTCTTGGTAAGCTTTTAGACTTATTTTCTTAGACCATGCTACAAGATA